TTCCCTTTCTTTGTTCAGGATCTATAGCTGGGTCATAATGTCCCATCCTTGAGTTTCAGCACAAGGAGACACTGTGAGTTTTGTTTGGACAGGCAGAAGCCAGATCAAAAAACACACATAAGCAGCAGGAGCATGCAGCTTGCTCTTGACGAGCAGGCCTTGGTGCTTACACTACTGTGAGTGTGTTCCCTGTACTGCTTCTCCCAGGAAGGAGCAGAATGACTGGAGAAGGCCATGACTTTCATTTGCGTAAGTTTTTTTTCCCCTGTGTCAGTGATCAGGTAGTTTAAGAAACACAAAAGCTCCTCTGACAACTTCTGTTGTCTCTCCTTGTCTGCGGAGTCCTGGCATCCTACTGTTCTGTTTTACAAGGAATAAAGTGCTTAATTTTCGCTTCCATATCACACAGATGGATCTGTTCCCCCTCTGCAGATGAAGTCCTGCTCCCAAGGTGGAAACTAGCACAGGAAGCTCCTCAAGTTGCCCAGCAAAGTGTGAACCATGTCCTGAGAAAGCTGTCACTTTGCTGAGCCTGGAGGAGACGTGGTGTGCCATTCCCACACCCTGCAGAGTCAGTAGGAGATGGAAGTGGAAACATTTCCCAGGGGGACCTTTCAGCTTGGCTGTGGTGGCATGCCCATGCAGCTGGTGCCCACAGTCATGACTTGCAGCTTCCACAAGCTGAGCACAAGAGCCTCTGGTATGCTCCTCACTGGGGGCAGATACACCTCAGTCCAAGGAGGATGGCTGCTGGCTCCTGAGCAGGACTGGCTCTTGCAAACCCAAAGGCTGCAAAGCTCGGGTGCTGGTGAGGAGTTGAAGAGGATGAGGTGGTTTTAGTGGCAGTCACAAAGTGTGTAAGTCCTAATAAATGCAGGCAAGGTTCTCGTAGCAGCCACCCTAAGGAGATGAGAATAGATTATTACCTCAACTCATATATTGTTCTGAGCCTTCCAGTAGATCGAATTAGCTGGGATTACAAGAGGATAATCCCAGATGATGGAAAATGGCAAGCAGAGTGTGTGCATGTGAAGAAAGGTCTGTGAAAAGAGGCTGCAAGTCCCAGGTTGTGCAGTTTTGATGACACTGTGTGCTCTTCCACTGAGTGGTAAGTGAGCAGCTGCACAGCCTGCTGTGTGCCTGTTTGTGTGTAGGGTCTGCCTGTCTGGCAGCCCTGGGGGCATAGGTGCAGGCAGGATTGAGGCTACAGGGAAGGGTCAGCTTCTAGCAGCTCATTCTGGAGACAGAGAAACATGACGAAGGTTTCAGTTTGGCAGGAGTGATAAACACATCACTCTGAAAGTGGAGGAGGCAGTGCCGATCCCCAGGCCTCCTGCCAAACTGGAGGTCCAAGCAAAGGTCCTGGCCTTTATCCCCGTGGCTAAAATGCCATACCCAGGCAGTGTTTGTGAGTAGGATAGCTACAAACAAGTAGGGATAAAGGAGAGGTTTTTTGCTTTGATCCTCTTAATTTGGGGCATCCTTTTCAAAGCATAAGTTTTGGTTGGTTTTGCTTCATCTTCTGGGAAGTTGCCACTGAAGGAGATGTGCTCATAAGGGCTGTTGGGAATGCACCAAATTGAGTTCAAAGAGGGACCAAAGGTAGTGTTTGGGAGAGATCAGGAAAACGAAAGGTGGTATTTGGGAGGGATCAGGAAACATTTATTTGTTTTAAAGCCATTCCATTGGGGATCAGATGTCTGCAGGCTGAGAAAGTTTTTGTTTTGAGGGTTTTTAGCGTCCATTCCACCCCCACAACTCCTTCACTAGCTGCCAGGAAGTCTCCTTCCATCCATGTTTATTCCCCTGCCCACGTACACACGCAGCCCCCGGCTTGCTGCCCGATTGCACAATGTCCTCTTCAGCAGCCTCCTCGAGCAGGGGGAGGCAGGGCGGTGGGAGACCCCCTGGAAGAGCCGAGGAATGCTGGCGCATTCCTGGCGGCCTGCCCTTGGCTCCCAGCCATCCTGGCTTAGCACGGCCGCATTTCCTGCCACCAGAAACGTCTCCAGTGCCCTTCCCTGTCCAGTTATGCCCAGCACAAAAGTTCCTTCTGTGGGGACTCTTCCTTTTATCTAACACCTTTCATCTCTGGTTGTGGCTTTCTTCCACTGCTCCCAGCCTGCTCTGACCTCTCGCCTCAAGAGCAGAAAGAGAGAAGAAATAATTTTGTTTATCTGCAGTCTCTTAAAATTCTTTAGATTAATCTCTTGCCTTGGCCAGTTGCCTATGCATGTGGCCACTGGGAAAGGACAGCCCCTTCTCCAGCCACTGCGGGTGGGCAGCTTGGGAGAGCTGCTGGGTGCAGAGATGGTCATTCCTCAGCAGAGCTCCATCCTGTGTTACCACCTCATTCCAAGGCCTGGGTGAAATCCTTCCCCCAGCTTTATTGTGTGGCATCCAATCTTGTGTAAACCTTCCATTTCAGATGGGAGAGAATTCCCTTGGTATGGGTATTGCCAGGAATAACCTGGATGGCCATGTTTGTTTATTTATCTGTGTGGTCAGCACTAATCAAAAGCAGACTGATTTTTTTTTCTCTGTAGAAATGCTCTTGAGGGAGGAGGAAAGTTTGTTTAGGTTCAGTGCAGATGGGACCCAAAAAAAGAAAGGAAAAAAAAAAGAGGGGAAAAAATGCCCTCAACTTTGCATTCTAGAAATTCCCATGACATTTGCTTCTCAACCAGCACAACAAAGTACGTACTCCGTTAGCAGGCTGCCCTTGCTGCAGCTGGCAGGAAGGAAGCTGACAAAAGTACCATGTTTTCTGGGCAGAGGCAAGTTGCTCCATGCCCCTGGTTCTCACTGGGCTCTGCAGCACCAGTGCCA